CAACGCAGCTCAATTCGAAAACGGTTATTGATATTCAGGCGTAGGAAATACGTATGCGACCGAATCGAACGGGTGTTGGCATATATGCTTATGAACGACGTGCATTAACTTAATTGCAAGCACTTAAGGCAGCTTGGAGCGTGCGTGGACAAGAGGCCGGAGAAAACGTCACATGTCTGCTGGTGTCGCGTGTTCGTATCACGAGGTGGCCTATGGCGCAATCGTGGCGTAAAGATAACCATCAAGCGTCGGGTCAAAACATGGTGAGTGCGACCGTTTGAAACTTCAACCCAAGTAAACTGTTCAGGTATGTCCATCAGAAACCTTAGCCATCGAAAAAGGCGGCACTAGTCCATCATTACTGCTGTCCACCTAAATCTGCCGGACCGATTTCGTAAGATACAAAAGATATAAACCTGTTCGTTAGTTTTGTTGCTATCCTGGGCTCACATATACGGGGTTAATAAATTACGGTGAAATATTTGTAGTCGCTTGTTAAGGCCATATGTAATTTGGACGACGGATTTGCTTTCAACATCCAGTCCGACTCTTCAAATAAGCCTTCCCCGAGTCAATTCTTTTTGACAACTTATTTTGGCGGGGTAAGCGATAAATGAAGCTCTTTTCAGATGCTTGTAACTGTCAGGTTTCCGGATGATATAGCTGTACTGCTTTCAACTCCAGTCCGACTCTTCAAATAAGCCTTCTCCGAGTCAATTCTTTTTGACAACTTATTTTGGCGGGGTAAGCGATAAATGAAGCTCTTTTCAGATGCTTGTAACTGTCAGGTTTCCGGATGATATAGCTGTACGCATTAGTCGTCAGCCATGGCGACGCAAAACATCAGGCATCTAGCAAAGGAGTCGCGCGGGCCTTGAAAAGACTATGTCACCAAGAAGGAAGGCCGCCCGGCTGCTAAAGGCTTCCAAGCGCTGCAGCAAATGAAATTAGTCAGTCACTAACCCCGTCTAATTAAAGCTCAGATACGTCGTAGTGACATTACGGCTGCTGACAATTGAAGCGTCTGATACCAAGCCATAACGCAAATGTGCGCGTCGCAGCAAGAGAAAATTTAACTCTTTGGACCCCAGAGTGTGTGAGAATTCTTGCAGGCGACCAAATTTGTCTAGTTACAGCAAATCAACTGGACAATGATGCGCACAACGGGTGTCAACCTAACTTTAGACCTATAGAATGTGAACATACTAAATTTGCCGACTACTCAGGCGGTTTAACGTGTTGTTCCGGTTAATAACACGGCTTTTCCAGACGTACTGGACCCTAACCCTGATGTACACGCCGATTAAAGTTTGACACAGGTAGCCCTCAAAAATGAGCCGGCCAGAAGCAGGCGAATCCTCAGTATGTCAGTCTCAAAGAGCAAACATATGTTTGAAAATTTGGTTCACGACGATGCAGAGCATTATTCCCCTCGACCTGATTTTACCCCATAAACAGCCGACGAACTCCACCTTTTCGAAATAATTTACCGGAGTACACTCTCTTCTATAGGCGCAATTCTTTTTTGGTGCTTCAAACTTTGCGGCGCAAGTACCCCTTTTTGGTCAGAGTTCCGATGCGCACATTCGTGGTGGAATCGAAGGTAGAGACATTGCACACGCCAAATAATTGCAGTGGATATTGCACCTGTCGTGGTTAACCGGTGGTTACCAGTGATGCGTGTGGCATCTAGGCAGTAACCCACTGCGGAAGAAAGAAATCGGTTTAATTCAAAGGAAGACGAAAACTAAAGACGCCCCTTTACCCCACCCATCAAGGCCAGCATGAAATTTAACGAGGCTTTCTACAATTGCCGCGTGTGTAACTTGGCAGTACCGCGATGCCAAAGATTAGACCCAAATGGAAGCTGTGAGAATACAGAGCTCCAAATAGCGGAACCCAGATTTCTATCAAGGAACATGTAGCTTGTAACTACCGTGAAAGTGACTTTACCGGGAGTGTGTGGTAAGGAAATAAAAATAATAACGCTAGACTGAACACACAACGATAAAAAGGTCAAATGGAACAGACTCACTGAGAAATGGTCTTTTTAAAATAGTACTTTGTTGGCCTATGTCAGCGAATAAATAATGATCCAATTGTCGAAATACACTAGTTTGGTTTTTCGAGTGACTCACTTGGAACAAAGCTTAATATCTCGTTTGTGATGTTTCCACGAAAGCGAACGTGTTAAACCAGGCCGCCTAATGTTTCAGTTGCTACGATATTTGAGATCTTGCGTTACACATATATATGTAATGCACTACTCATAAGGTTGCTGAAAATTCTTTGACAACCCAAGACCGGTTTCACCCATTTCGGGGCTCATCAGGTAGGCACATCGGATAGTTTCCCTCAACCTTATGTTCTGCTTGGTTGTCCAGGGATATTCTTTCCAACAGCACTCACATATAATAACATCCAGAGATAATCTAAATGTTTTGACACTAGACTTGGTACACGGAAATCGCGATTGCCCGCTGCAAGCGCGAGTGAATTCAGAGAAAATCGAAGAAGCTGACCACGTTTGTCTTTTTGTGCACCTGTCCAAACGCGCGTTTCTGCAGTTTGTGCGTATTCATACAAAAACGTTTATGCTATTGACGGAATACGTAATATTATACTGGAAGCAAAAGAAAAGTACAAAACACTACACTCCTTCTCTAATTGAGGGTTTACCGTGAAAGGGGAAGACGCTGAAATAATACAAATATTTAATCAAAAGGTGGTCATTTCAAGTTTCGTAATCAGTTGAGCGTCGAACGTCGAACGCTCTGTCCGGAACGAGTATTGGAAGAAGTTAGATTGACTTTTGGTGCATCCCTATTGTGTTTGGGTGCTGGCGGGATGGCAGGATTACTGAATGGTGTCGTGGATGCCTCGACGAATGCAGGCTCCAGATGAACAATGGAGAGTGTATCATGCTCTCCAGTTCTATAGCCTTGAAAGGACCATCATCACAGGGTTGTTTCTTTGTTGCGTCATGCCGGACAAATACAGATGGTGAAGAGATCGGTTGAGATGTGCTCTTTTGTGTTGATCGTCGTATCCGCGTCGCACAAAGTTCATCTATTTGCTGTTTCAGGCGGGGGACGAATGTGACAGGTGATTTTGGCTCTGGGCCAGAAGGAGAGTGTGGTTCACCAATTGAACGTAGAGGCGTATCATACACTAGTTCGGCTGGTGAACAGTAAAAATCCTCCCTAGTAGTGCAACGAATAGCAACCAAAAGAGCGTTTAAGAAGAATACCATGAAGTTGGGTTCATTTGGGCAGTCAATGCAGCCTTCAGGTAGCGATGGAAGCGTTCAATCAGACGGTTGGGATGGAGCTGACACGCGATTGTCGAAACGCGATGAAAACCGAAGAGTGTAGAAAACTCAGAATAATTTATCCTGAAAATATGAACCGTGATCGGCAGTAACGGATGAATGTACGCCAAAGTTACTGACACAGTGCTGCAAAAATGAAGGGGCTACCGTTTCAGCTGAAGTACCCAAACAGGATACAGCTACTGGCCAACGGGCAAAGCGATCAATCATGGTAAGAATATGAGTAAAACCGTTTGATGGGAAAACTGGATCAACAATATCAAGATGGACTTGTGTGAGTCGAGCGTTAGGAACTGTGAATGAGCTGAGAGGCGAATTCGCATGCCGAATTATTTCACAGCGTTGGCAAGCCACACAAAACATGCATTTATCAACTTTTGTTGCTCAGATTCCTAGATGAGAGAGCCCGTCGGAAAGCTTTGGGGACGATTGGGCAAGCTGTGCCGGTAGACACAACTGTACTGGAGAATTGAAGGAACTTGAAATGAGGGATTGGACGGAATAGACACCAACGTAGGATCAAAATGCCAAGGTTCGCCAGCTTGGTAAGGTCCATCTGCGAGGTAGAGTGGTGTTTTGATGTCTGGGTGGAATAGTACGTCTGCAAAGATACTGCCCGATCTTAGAGTGTACCGAATATCCGTAGCGAATTGGGTACTACAGTCTAGATGACGTGTCGCGTGCGGCGAACAGCGATCAGGCGTTGAAAACATACGTAAGTGACTGACGGCCGGTTGAAGTGATAAATGAGATACCTTCTAAGAAGTGCTGGAAATGATGAGTGGCAAGGCAGCTTGCGAGTAATTCACGACCGAAAGTAATATTCCGCGTTTGGGTAGCCTGAATCTTCTGCGAGATAAAGACTAACGGTTGAAATTCATTATTAACCACTTGATGGAGTACAGAGTTGACAACAGCGTTCGAGGCATCAGTTGTCAAAGTAGGCCACATTTTTTCGTGGGTATGGGGAAAAGATGATTTTTCGGCTTGAGCGATACCCTTGTGAAGCCTGTCCTTGATTTCTGGTCACAGACACACATATCGACCGCGGATGGGCTTTTTCTTTGGCGGAGCAGTTCCCGCCAGGATACCCAACCTGTCAAGAGCATTCTCGCCACATACCATTCCCGACATGGCGAGTGCTTCTGCTCCGTTTTTAAGCATCCCTCTTTTTACCAGCCACCTACTTGAGAAGGTCGAGTCAGTCGTCGTCCCTACGGAAGCGACCTGATTCCACCTTCACTCTACCCTTCCACAGGAGGCATGCTTGAGTCTCCCAGGGATTGAGTTGATGCTGCCGAACGACAAGAACAAACGTGATCCTGGAAGTCTGAGCCAAGGCTTTGATCCTGCGTGTTGAGTGCTGAATCAATGATCCCGTAAATGCCAAGGTACTACTAGCATCAATAAGACCCATGCTCAAAACTGACGAGGAGCATTTCTCTTCAGTTTTCTGCTACGTAACCAGAATGGGTGACCAAACCGACGACCGAATGTATGGGGTCTGTGTTTCCACTCATATACAAGCCTAGTGAACCATCCAGGTAAACTGCATTAAACATGGTCCAGGGGACGGATCGACTGAACTAACGCAACGAATACCCAATTGTTTAAACTGGTCAAATTTGCTCCCCATCGTGTTTTGTTTTCACGCGCAAGCGATCCAGCGATGCCATTCCGGCGACGCAGCTTCTCCCGTTCCCCGAGAAGAAGGTAGGCTGCCACCTATTATTCCGTTTATTTAATGATCGAGCCGCTTTAGGCGATTCACTGAACCCGGCAGGAGGCTCCGTGCTGTTGATTGGGGCGCGTACTCACTGACCCGTTTTGAGAAGAAATTCTACCGCGAGTGCAGCAGTGTTCGCGACCGATCCAGGCGTGACATAGAAGAGTTCCGTGCTCGAGAAAAGGTCACAGTGCTAGGACATAACGTTCCACGGCCAGTATTCAAGTTTAGCGAGACAGGCTTCCCTAGCTACATTCTGAATGTGATTAAAAAGAATCGATGGGAATCCCCAACTCCTATTCAAGCACAAGGATGGCCGGTTGCTTTAAGTGGTCGCGATCTTGTTGGCATAGCGCAGACTGGATCTGGGAAAACGGCCAGCTTCCTACTTCCTGGCTTGGTCCACGCGAAGGCTCAGCCCTCGCTGAGGCGAGGCGACGGCCCAATAGTTCTTGTTTTGGTACCTACCCGTGAGCTCGCACAGCAAGTAGAGAAGGTCGTTGAAGAGTTTTGCTCTTACTCTGGCTTCCGATCGGCTTCTCTATACGGCGGGACATCTCGAGGAGGTCAGATGGATCAACTAGCTCGCTCACCAGAGGTTGTTATCGCCACCCCTGGACGTCTTTTGGACTTTTTGCAATCAAAAGACACCAACCTGCGTCGCTGCACGTATCTTGTCTTGGACGAAGCTGACCGAATGTTGGACATGGGGTTTGAACCGTCTATACGAAAAATAATTTCCCAGGTAAGACCTGATCGGCAGACCCTTATGTGGTCTGCTACGTGGCCGCGTGAAGTGAAGGCCTTGGCAGAAGACTTTTTGTATGATTACATCCAAATAAACATTGGTTCTACGAAACTGAGTGCCAATCACAACATCCAGCAACACGTGGAAATAGTGAAAGAGTCAGAGAAGTTTCATCGGCTCCTTGCCCTGATAAAGTCCTTCGGCGATTCGCGTGTGATTGTCTTCACGGAAACTAAGAGGCGCACTGATACCGTCTGTCGGCAGCTCCTGGACAAGGGCTTCAATGCTTTGGCAATGCACGGTGACAAGCATCAGCGTGAGCGGGACCGCGCTCTCGAACGTAGGTTCTATCCTCTCGTTACATGTATACGGTCTAGAATTCCGTTCCGGTCGCACTTCAATCTTAGTTGCGACAGACGTCGCCTCGCGGGGGTTGGGTAAGTCTTCACATTTTACTTGGCGTTAGCGTTGTACCCTGTCGTTAATAATACTTCTCTTGTTCAAATGTCGCCTGCCAGGAATAAAGGCTGATTCAACTGAAACCGTGTTTTGGTCGTTGGCTAGTTTGGCAGCGGTTTGTGCTGTCGGACCCCGCAAAGTCCGTCACTGGCATCTGTATGACCACGTGGCTGATGTCCTCAGCTGCTAGCTGGCACTGACGCTCAATAGACACCGTAGTCGCCGCGGTTTATGGGTATCGTAGACGCCTCCTGAGCGTCATCGGACCGCTTCTTTCACCCACCACATACCCAAAGCCGTCTTGGAACCGCTCGCTCACCACACAAAGAGTCATTGGTCTTCTTTGGCTCTGAGTAATGGTCCAAGAGGCTGTCAGACTACATCGGAAGAATCAACAAGCCAGTGCTTCTATGCTGCCTATAAATGGTTGTCACTTGGCTCGTCTGCAATGCGCTGAACTCGCATGTTGGCCTTCACAGTAACCTCTGGACACGATTACCAGTTGCTCAACAATAGGAGTCAGGTTGGTTCTTGGTGGTTTTTTATGCTGCAGCATTTTCCTAGCCGTGAGGGTAAGCCTGTTTTCATCACGGGGTTTTCGCTGGAGAGTTCTGAATATACGCTTCACATGCCTAACGTTCTGATTTTAGATATCAATGATATCCGCTACATCGTCAATTACGACTACCCATCACAGACCGAGGATTATATCCACCGCATTGGAAGAACGGGCAGGAGTGACAAGAAAGGGACTGCGTATACCTTTTTCACAGCAAAGCATCCTCGACTGGTTGGTTTTCGATTATTGTTTACCTCAATTACTTTAGGCTCGTGAACTTATTGACGTGTTGAGGGAAGCCAAGCAAGAAGTCCCGGAAGAACTGGAGAAGTTAGCTGAGTTGTCACAGGAAAGAAAAAGATGGCCCCGTGACAAGCGACGTGATAACTCAGGTTCATCCCGTAGCCGGAGTCCGCTTAGTCGAAGACGAAGGAGATCTAGTGATAGCAGCCGCGGTTCCCG